TCCATTCAAAACAGAGCTGGATAAACTTTAAATATAAAAATCATATATGTAATCACAAATAGCAGGGATGCTTGATCCCATGATCTTTTTGGGTGCAACAGGGCTAAAAAATTCTCTTATTGTAATTTTAAAAGAATAATTCCAAAGTTGTTACCCCGAGTAAGGGGAAAAAATCTCCAGCAGCTCACACACTGGATGTCTCAACATTCTCCCTCTCTGAAATTACACTAGCAAAAGTTCTTCCCCTTAAAACGAACCTCAGTAAATAAGTTGGCCAATAATCACACCCACAGCCATATCTGAATTAAATGCGGAGGAAGCTGAGTGAAAGCAGCACCGATGTCAAAGCAGCACCACCCCTGAGCAAGCGGCTTTGAGGAGACCCGCTTAGAAAGCTTCCAGTAGAACAGCGTTCCAACACAAAGTGCTGACTTGATGAAACACAAAATATTCCACAGGAATGTGCTAATTCAATCAAAACTTTTGAAAGAGGACAGGCCGGCTTGCCGAGCCAGCCAACCAGTCTAGCAAGCTGACTGGTTCTCTGGGGTCACTGGCTTCCCCATCTGGCCAGGTGCCAGGCTGCTAGTCCCTGCTTTCAGAGGGGCCCTTCAGTAGTAATAATAATCAGAATAACAACAACAATAATACTAATAACCACTATAATAATAATAGTAAAGTCTTACGAAGTGTTCTGAGAAACAAAGGAATTTTAGAACGAAAACCAGAATTACTTCAGAACCAACTGCAAGGTTGGAACCAACTTCAAGAGGAATTGGTTGCATTTGTGGCAAAGCATCTAAAACTTGTGCCCTTAAAGTCGCAAGTCTCTCCTGTGTCTTCTCAATTTTTACAGAACACCTTTCAGTGAAAGAAAAAAAAAATACTATAACACCACAAAATGAACAATAAGTATATTCAAAACCAAAACTTCGCCAGATAGGTCTAATCATCAGCAAAGAGTTAAAGGGAAGTTGCTTCTAAAGCACTGGGTAAATTAAAGTAAATGCCCCTGCCTGACCCAAACCCAAGGCCACCTTTGTAAGCAACCCCTTTCACAGAGTAGTCCCTGTGTGGGCAGTGCAAAGAGCCTCATTTAACTTGTTGGAGAAACATAAAGAAAGGACTAGGTATGGCTATAGAATATTTTAGAAGTGGTTTAAAAAAAAAAAAAAAAAAAAAAAAAAATCTGTCAACTAGCAAGTAACTTGTTTTCTTCTTAAAGCTGGATTTTGGCAAACTGGCTAACCACTACATGGGACCTACTCTGGCTTCTCAGCAAGTAACAGTATGAAGAGGTTTTTACCCTCTTGCTAAAAATGCAAGGCCATTTAAGACAGTAACACCAAACACCACAATGTTTCTGCGCAATTCCATTCATTTAACCAGCTTTTGTATCAAAATGCCTAGATATTGCTTCATGTGTGAGCAACACAAGTAGTTTAAAGAGATGTGGAACAAAGTTCCACAAAAAAAAGAAAGAACTCTTTTTTTACATGCCAAATTGAGTCGGCAATGAGATCTCTGTAGCAGGCAAGTCATATGATTTTCAAAGAACAAGGCTAATAGAATGTACTGATTTATTTATATGAAAATCAGCACAACTTCCAGCATAGAACTGGGACAGATTTGTGACCACTCTCTTTCAGAAAACATGTGTAAATCAGACAGCTGCCAGAGTTTGCAGTTCACTGACCCTTCCTACAGCCAAATGCAATGCACAAAGGTAGCTCAGAAAGCAATTAGAGATTGGCTGGGAGGACTCATTAATTTTTTTAAACTTCAAATCACAACTAAACAGTCATAACATTTCTCTGGGGAAGACTGTGTGCCTCAGACTCACATTTAACAAGAAAGAAGGTTTGTCTTCTCAGAACGACAAAATACATACAGTTTGCTCCCTGCTGCGTCTTAGAAAGAACAACTAATACATTTACAGTATCATGAGGAAACATATCTAGAAGAGAACTAGACATAAGCACAGTTCAATCCAACCGCTCGATTTTTAAACATCTCAGCACCTGCAAAGTCTTGGGCTCCCTTCAACTACTTGCAACACAAAATTCAGAGAAAAAAGGTGAGGGGGAAAAAAGAAAAAAAAAAATACATTTTTCCTGCTAGTTACCAGATAACAGGTAATAGGACTGCAAACCACCAGTGACTAACACAAGCAAATGATGCCTACTTGGCTCTATTTGGGAATGTATGGCATACGGCCAAGATAACAATGAGAAAGTAAAACATAAAAAGATGCCTTCCATTTTGGAAGAAGGTATCAAAAGTTGATAGCAGCATCTTTTCTTCTCTCAAGCAAAACTCGAGATGCCCTTCTTATGGCTTATGACAGAAAGGCAGATCCATCACTGCTCTCCTCATCATGGCAAACAACAAAATATACAAGAAAAAAAAGCATGCTTATAGACATTTATATGCAATTCTGGGCCTGTAATCACGGCAGAATTAAGTTACCAATGTGCTAGTTAATTCTCTTTCATTAGCCCTCATTAAAGGGATCACAATCATACCACAGAGTAACAATTGAGCGCTGCACAACTCTGAAGCCATATCCTCAATTCCTTTGTGCTGCAGTAATTTAAATAACCAGCTATAGGCTGTAATTTAAGATTGAGTCCACAGCTCCAGGAGCTAACCAACTGGAGTTACAAGGATCAATGCACACTTCTATTCAGTGTTTATGAGAATGAGACCATATTTCTAAATCAGTGTCTCTCTCAAACCAGTCTATGTAATTTAGTAATTTTCTCCTTTCAAGCTTATATAACCATGTCCTAGAATGAGTTTCTGAGGCTCTCTGTACAGCAAACACACTCCTAAATTGAGAGATTACATGTTGCTGCTAATAACTCATATTGCATTGTCCACAACTGCTTCTCTTGTGTTGCAGATTATCCAGAGAGTGGCTTGAGGTGCCACTCACCGGTTTTACTTCTGCTTGTTTAAATGGAAGTTTGTTGATTCAGACTGCATAAAGGTAACAAGACGGCCCAAAGGAGCTCCAACCAGCAGTGTGCTGGCTGAGAGGCACAGTGCAGGAGAAAAAAAAAAAAAAAAAAAACAAAAAAAAAAAACAGCCTGGATATGGCACTGTTGTGATACAAATGAACGTCACAAACGATACTGAGAGGTTACGTTATGTAATTGTTGTATCTTTGGAAAAAAGTCAGTCAGCTGAGTGCGCTCATACAGACACGCAGGAAGCAACAGGGGCAAAGGATTTCAATCAATCAACTCATCATTTGTGTACATCCCATCAACTGGATCCCTGCCAGAGCTTGCTCTCTGCCAGCTTGCCTCCTCCTGCTCCACCCTAACCGATCCCAAGTGCATTGTCCCTCCCTGACTCAGGCGACTAGCCTGCTTCTCCCTAATGTTCAACATCTCTCAGAACACAGATTTCTATCAACTTATTTTGGAAAATGCTCAGTCCTAAATTCAAAAAGGCAAAACAAAGAAAAACAAAGCCCTCTCCATTAGATGAAGTCAACCTTCTCAAATATGCATGTGGTAACACCAGGAGAAAAAAAAAAAAAATTTACTTTTTCTGAGTGCTGTGCTTTGAAATGGATTTCACAGCTTTGTATGATTTCAAATTAGTTTTGCAATTAAGGGCCAGCATTATTGCTATCCAGAGAAAGAATAAGGTGGGCCCAACCATCCTTCAAGACTTGTTCCAATAAAAAAAAAAATCCAGTGTAGGACACCGTATCAGCAAAGTGACAGGAGGTCAAAGAGCCCACAACACTGCAAGTTATTTAGGTAATAACTTACATTGGAACGGACCTCTTTAGTTCTTCTGGTCTAGCATTTCATTCAAAGCAGGACCAGGTTAGACTAAGTTGCTCAGGGCCTTATTCAGTGAATTTCTGAACATCTCCAAGGATGAAGGCTGCACAGCCTCTTCAGGTGCCTGCTACTGTGTTTGACCACCCTCGTTATGCAGCATTTCTACCTTACATTGCATCAGATTTTTTCCTGATGCAACTTGTGACCAGTGACTTTCAACCTTCTGCTGTGTACCTCCAAGAAGAGTCCAATTCCCTCTCCTCTACAATTTCTTTCTAATCACATTCTGTTCTCACATACTCCACATTTGATGACTGGTGAGCAATAAGCTCATTCAGGAGGCACTGTAAGATTTCCTGATGGTAGGGCAGCTCTGCCAAAGTAGGCACAGAGTTCAGTAAGATTTTCTAATTCCTAGTTTTCTGAAACCTTTTTGTGTGCTTGCCATAGAGCTGAGTGTCAGCCTAAGCCACAGTGATAGAAGGGTTTGATCCCAACAGTGGCAAAAGTCCCGTTTGCCTTGCATCAAAGGTTGCCTAGAAGGAGGACTTAGTGGCAGGGAAAAAACAGAGCTACCATGGGTGACTTATTTGACATTTCCAAGTTTCACTGAAATAACAAAACCATACATATCTAGCAGTCCTTATGAAGCATCACATATGCAATCAGCTGGAGAAGGAGCAAATTCTTTAGCTCCTTCAAGAAATGGTCATTTTCCTGAATAACACACAAAGGCACAGTGTGTCAAGGCACAGCATGTCAAGTCACAGTCCTTAATAATGTCCCCAGAAGGAGACTTGATTGACCTGCCTCACTACTTGATATTATTAGATGAGACTATTTTTACACTACACGTATCTCAAATGGACATTAAACACACACTGAGCAATGTATAAACTTATGGTCAAAAAATTGAATAAACACACTCAAATAATAATAATTTTATATTTTCAGAACAAGTCAACAGTGTAAATTATATTGGCATGTAGTATAAAAAAGACCAAGTTCTAAGGAATTAATTTGAAAAAAAACAAAAACAAAACAAAAAAAAAAACACAAACAAAAAAACTACAAGCAAAGAACATACATCATTTGAGTCGACTGAACTAGTTAACAGAGCATCTTATTAAATAAAGAATTATTATCACTCTAATGTTTAAAATGAATAAATAATTATCAGCTTACTTCTTTCTTACCATTGTAGGTTATCCTTGGTTTTGTCAAACACATCACAAGATGTAAATCCATTTCATCAGAAGATACAAATTTTGAACATACGGGGCACTTGAATCCTATGGAAAATAAAAATGTGTGAGTACACTCAACAGCGTTGCAAATATGTATATTCAAGCCAAGAAACTATTCTGCACACATTAAAAGACAAAAAAAAAAATACCTGGCAGCTTTTCAGTTTTGAGCTAACATTTCTTACATGACTATAATTACCTTGATTTCATAAGATCTCAGAATGAACCATTGTTTCTGCAAATTGATCCGTTGCCAATTGCCAACATGTCAGCACCTCTGGAACACAAACCTTCCTAACAACTCTAAGAACAGTTTAAGACAGAACAAGAGGATAATATGACTCTACTAAAACAGAAATTATAAATGTGTAGAGAACATAGCTGTTAAAATCTGAACTTGGGCAGGAACCCTGAATTAACATCTTCATTTTTTCTAGGAATAGCATTGAAAGTTTAACAAAGGATCTCAGTTTTACATCTCGTCACGCAAGATGCAGCATCTTTTACTAGTCTGGGGCACAGGGAAAACATTAACTTAGGGGTGTTGCCTCACCTACCAAATCACTAATATTTCCTGTAGCACTGAATTTCTCTCATCCTAGCCAAGCATGACCTTGCTTAGCTTTTGAGATCACAGCCTGAGGCAATATGGGGTAAAGAATAATTAAGACAGTCTGGATTGTGATGCAACTGCATAATAGTCCATGACAAAACTGCTTAATACTTTAATTTATGTCATTACCAAAGACAGCAGTCTTCCAGTTAAAGGACAAGATTGGTTGGACAAGTTTTACGGTCCACAGAAAACTCTGAGAAAAGTCCGTCTGGTTTTGATCTGCTGAATAATTAATATACAAGTGAGAGACAAAAAGCCACCAACAGGGACCTTGATGTGTAACAGCTGTTAAGGGGTATACCTACAGGACAACATACAGCAAAAATATCTAAATCCATGCTCAGTGCAAAGGAGCAACTTTTCTTTAATGCCCTTGAAAAGTAATGATGCAGGCATGGAGGGCCACTGCACCTTCCAGCAACATCTACATCTGGGCCTGCTCCCACATGTTTTGGTTTGCTGCCCCTTACTTTTGTACTTCTAACCTTGGGCATCCACAATGAACCAAGTCAGTCAAGAGTAACAAGTGATTTGATGCTGCACTTTCAAGTTACTGATGCCTGAGAATTTTGATCTTTACTGTTAATTATTGTCCAAATGTAAATCAAGCAACTAACCTAAAGCATTAGCACTTGACAGAAGTAATGCACTCCATCAGTCACACAATTATTTTTATTTCTTTAGTGCAGCTAGTAGGAAGCAAGTCAAAGCAGATAACTGCTAACAACCATGAGGAACTCTGAGCAGTAGCTGTGCATGTACTAGAAACCACTTCCTGAGTAAAGTACAGCTCTTAAGCTTCCCATTTTAGTCATAAGAAGTTCATATGTATTTCTTCTTGTGTCAGTCTTACACTTCAGTTTAAATATTGTTCTTCTCCTTATTTTTAATCCTCCTCCCCCAACCCACATATTTACAAACAACAGTTACAACCACAGGTTAATCAGCATACAACAGCCAAACTCATCTTTTGGAAAAAGCAAGTTGAAAGGACTAATTTACTTGTAGAAAGCTTTGTCAGTGACCATTCAGCCACTGTGTAGCCTCCTGACCCTAGGCTGCATCTCAACATGACTAAAATAAGAATTAATATCTCAGTCCTCCAAGCACTCAAAACCACCCGTAACTGTTTTGTTATGGTTTTCTTCAAAACCCTGAGAACTCAGGCTAAATTTTCTCTCAACCTTTATCAGTCTAATACAGCTGATTACTCTTAAGTCTAGTCAAAACCTACTAAGATTCAGGCATTATTCTCATTTATATGCTTCTGTAAGGCATTGTTGGCAACATATTTTGATGTGAAAAAGCACATGGCTTCCTTATATACTACAGTCTGAATCCTGCTGTGCCAGAGGGGAGTGTTTGCATTACAGCAAGTTAACATTTATGTTCAAGGCTAGTTAAGCACCAGGACAGTCATTAACAGGTTCCTTCTGCTTTCTGGACAGAACCCTTCTAGCTTATTCCCTAGGGTCATCATCACACCTAATTGGGAGTGACAGAAGGCCAGGAAAATCATCACTAGGTCTTTAGAACCACTGTTAAAGTTAACAGTGTTATTAAGAAGGCAGATATCCCAGGAATGCTTAGAGACAATACTTAAATCCAAATAAGAGAGTAGGGAGAGCTTGGGTAGATGATGATGACAATAATAATGCTTTTACTTCAAATCATGCTTAAAGATAGGCATCTGTGAAAAATCTTACTGGTTATCCACCTAGAATATTCAGCTGAATGTGCTTATACTACCATGTATCTGCCCCTAAACCTAGTAAACAGTCTACATTCTAGCAATATAGTAAGTATTTTAACAGTACAGTATCTTGTGGCTTTTCCAGTGTCAAAGGGTATCTGAAGGTAATAGTTAAACTACAAATATCCTCCCGACACAGCAAGTCTGGGATATCTGACTGCTGTAGCTCTAGTCAGAGTACAGAACAGTACACTGAAAAACCCAAGAAGAGGACATGACACTTAACTAAGCCTTATGGACCAACTAAGCTGCCAGTGGTAAAGGTAGCTTTGTGGAAAATAAATTTTTTTCAGTGATCAGCACCAGCTGCATGCCAGAGACTAGCAAAACAGCAGAAAAAGAGCCTTGAGCTCACAACACTCACTGAAACACTTTTCAAATATAAGTGAAATCCAACTTCTCATTCCTTCACAATGTTCTGCTGCAATAACCAGCTCTTGGATTTATCCATCTTCCTCAAGAGATGCACAGTGCATGTTTTGTGTGAAGAAAATTACCATTCCCAACTCCTTTAGTAACCCCAAAGAGCAAATTATTTTGACTGTAGACATAATATTTACTTTATTTTTAACTCTATTTGAAAAATATAAATAACTGAACAATCGACACTGTCCACAAGCCAGTTAAAGGTGCTTAAAAAAGGCTGGTATTTTCCCACATTTCCTCAAATCAGAAGGCAATAGTTTCATGACCCAGTTTACAATTAAGTACTCTGCAAGAACAAAGGCTCTATTGTACCACTGCCCAGAAGGCTAACAACATTTATAGCCTATGTTTGTTTTTACCACCAGTCTCAAGGAACAATTCCGAAAACTTGAAGAAAGTTTCATATTACTTTAACAGTCAGCAACAGGTCAAAAATAACTTGCTCTCTACATGACTTGTTTTACCAAGTTTTGCAGATAATGCATTCACAGACATTTGGACAACAAAGTGGAAGTAGTCATCAGATGAGGTGGCATCACGTGAAGTGTCCTCTAAAAACTACAAAACTCAATTAACTACTTGCTCACTCTCTTTAGAAGGAGAGCGCAAAAGATAACGTATAGTTCTAGGTAAAAATCCAGCTCTTATGAAGGTGTTGGTTTCACAGCATCCCTTATCCTCATCCAAGGTGAGGAACTATCACCCTTATATTACGATCATCACTGTTTGTCAGCGTATCACTGTAAAGCTGTCCTTCCTTCTCCCATAGTAGAGAGGACATTGCCTGTGATACGGCTGAAGTGGAGGGAAGAACCACCTCCCACCCCATTCTCTTTCTTCACAGCACCAAAACTGAGCAAGCACACACCTCTAGCTGACTTTACAACTGCACGCTTAAGAGGCGTGGAAACCATCGACAGGGACAGGTCGATGGGTGGCCACTCATTCTATCCGCACCAATTTCAACCTCTTATTGATATCTTACTGTGTTTGCCTTGCTTTGCAAACATCAGACTGTTTAACTTGCAGTTCAGCGCATAGCAAAGCAAACAAAAACCATTCAACAAATAACAAACTCCTGGACCTCTATAATTTTTGCAAAATCATGTTGGCACTCATTCTGGAACATGTACTTTGTGGTGGGAAAAAAAGAAAAAAAAAAGAACTAAAAGCTTCCAGACAATACAGTGCAGAGTGTCACAGAATTGCACATAAAGAAAACATGTTAAAGTGGTATTAGACTTGCATGGAAGAATGGATGATCCTTTTTGTCAACAAACAGTTGTAGCAAGAAGTAACCACGAATGAAATCTACACAAATGCAAAAGACTGCATCAGTCTGGTGAGAGTAACCTTTCAGGAGAAAACATCTCAACTGGAACACTGCCAAAACCAAACTAAAACTATGAATCCAGCTGTTCTTTTAAAGTAAATATGCAACACATTCGAATTTTAAGTTTTTGTATCCTTGTGTTTTCAAATAAGATGGATAAATCTATCTTGGTTACATTTGAAGAATTCATAAGAAAAGAGAAATCCTTGCATACATACACTTTCCTAAAATGTATTTGACAATAAGAAGCCTGACAAATGTTACTTACATATTTGCACTTGTTCTTTGGTACTCAGAAGTACAGACAATCTGGAAGCACAGTATCTAGTAAATATGATGATATGTGGGTGGTATGCAAGATTACTGTCATACAAATAAAGCCTGCATAATGATGCTAAACCAAAACACCACCAATACTCTCCCCTCAAAATAAAAAAAATAATAAGAAAAAAAAAACACAAAACCAAAACCAAGAAAAAAAAAACAACGAACCAAAAAGACCTCACATAATCAGAGAAACGTGCCAGAACGGACTTCAAGAGGTTACCAAGTCTATTCCATACTGGGAAACAGTTAAACGGACTTAAAGGATTTAATGTCTTAAAAATCAACTAGTGAAAGATTTTACAGACATCCTAGACAACCTACAGTGCTGATCAGCTATTCCTAGAGAGTTAGAAAAATCTTCCTTTATGTCTAATCCTTCTGGCATCCTTCACTTAAAAAAAGGCTGATTACTTCTTATGTGTTCAGTAGACACGGAAAAGAGTCGGTAACTGTCCTCAGTATAAAAAAAAACACAGTCACACTGGAAAACGTGTGCCCTTCATCTTTTTCCCCTAGTCTGAAAAAAAACAAGTTACTCTAATCTTTCCTCACAGGCCACGTTGCCTAGACCTTTTACTCCTGTTGCTGTCCTCTGGACTCTCTCCAACCTTAACGTATTGCATTGCCAAGAACTGGGCAGAGCTTTCAGGCTAAGACTTCACAAGTCCTAAGCAGAAATTAATAATTACCTATCACATTGTTCTGTTACATTAGGTGTTGAATATCTACACAGAAATCTATCTATACATAGAGATATCTCCTTTATGTGTGTGTATGTAGGTACATACATTTTAAACAAATCAACAGATTATTCGCTCATTCCTCTCATGGCCCATAACAATCCCTAAATCCTCAGCAGAACTGTTACAAGCCAGGTCCCATTTTTTAGTGATACGTTTTATTTCTGCTCACATTCAGTAATTTTCACCTGACTTTTTAAATCAATTATGAACATTTTTCTCACATGTTAAAAAAATTATGAGCTCCAATTTTGCCCTCCATAGTGCTTTCAGGTCTTACAAGTTTGGCACTGTATTTCCTTTTTTAAAGTGCCCACCCTCCAAAAAACTATGATTGAAAACTGACCTAAAGTAGACCACAGTGATACTTGAATTGCTCTCCTAGAACAGTTACAGGATGTTTTTTCAACTATTTTAGCATCCACCTACTTTTTCACCTAGACCATATTCTCTAAATTTGCTAATGAGAATATAAAGCAGAATAGCATAAATATTTTATTAAAGAATAAGTATAATGCCTCTACTTCTTCCACTTCTTTCTTTTGTATTCAAGTGTGTAGAGGACTAGGAAGTGAGATTGTAAGAACAGCAGAAAAATAGACGGAAATAAATCAGATTCTTCGTGAGTAACAACAGTCCCGGTCAAGTCAAACTTCTGTTACTCCCTTCTTTTGTAATCTAATTTGTAAAACTTAAAGAAGAAAACCAAAACAAAATAAAACAAAACTACTCCAGTAAAGACTACATGGTCTGTCAGAGTTACATGGCCACAGAATTCTCTCTTCACCTCACACAGCTGAAATGGAAAGACAGAGTGAGTAACTCCTTAAGCTCAAAACCATGGGGCTCTGTACATTACTTTAATGCAGCTAACATCTGGCACAGCAGCTTTACCCTTACCATCAAAGAGAATATAAAGATTACTTCACACTAAATTCAAGGACAGAGAACTGACATTTTAAAAATGTCTAATTTAGAAGGTAAGAGAAAAAAGAGCATTACAAATTCCCAGGGAACCCTCTATAGGAGAATTTCTAGGTGCTGTAGCTCCCAGTACAAGTGGCTACTCAGAGAAAGTCTGCCATTTTACGTGAAGAAGTATTTTATTAAGAGAGAAAACGTCTTGGTGAAAAGATACATCTAGTTCTCTAGTTTCCATCCTTCCTTATGCTGCCAGTGGCCTAAGCTGGGAGAACACAGCACCATCTGGAAAGACTTCTGGAGAAGAAAAGAAATAAAGAAATACTCCCCTCAGTTTGGAAGAGAATAGGAGATCAAATAGAAATAAGGAACACAATACAAACATTCCAAACACTGTCTTTTCCAGAAAACTGAACCAGGATAAGCACAAATAATTTCTTCTCATCACCTACTGATTTTGTGCTCATAATCTGGAAGGGTTTTCTTCCTCGCTTTTGTGACATAAAACTGAATTAAACACACTTGTGAATTCCTTGAGGGAAATGAGGGATTCTCTCTTGTATTTTCCAATTTAGAGTTTCCACAGCACTCGGTGAGAAAGTAGGGGGATATATAAAATGGGGAATAAAAACAAACCTGAAACTTATTTTAGTTAAGGAGCCCACAGAATAATTAGAGAAGATATGTTTGGATAATACATAATCTCCTAAACAAAAACTTATGAAAGACAGAATCTTACTACATAACTTCTTTAGCTCCCTTCATCTTGGTAATTGGGAAAGTGAGATCCTCAGTAGCAATCACTGAAAAATAACACAGTACAGAATGAAGAGGAGAAATTGAACACAACACATTCTTATTCATAAATAAAGCCTTTATCAGCCGCACAACTTCAGGTGTCTAATACCAATGTAAAAGTAACATGTGACGATGATTATAATTGACAGCTGCTCATTTTTAGAAACTGCAACACAATAAATACGACCACTAAAAGAGATTTTTAAAGCCCTATGTTAAATATCTTGCAAATCAGAAGATGAAATTACAGGTGGTTAAAGATCTGTGGAAAGACTGATTTCACCTCTTACTACAAAAATAAGAACAGTTGCTATTAGAGGAAGAGCTTTTTAAGAGTGACATTTTAGACTGATGCAAGCATCCAACAAAGAGAGGAGGAAAGACCTCCTTAACTCCACCTGTGTTTGTGGGTGGGTGAGTGTTACCTCCACATCCCATCATCCATAGGGATCTCTAGTCAAGGTAGAGGAGAGAATGCTCAAGTCTCCTTCATCCAAATTCCTAGAGTCTTTGCACTTTCAAACAGACAAGCACACAAACAAAAACAGTTCTTAAAGTGACTGTAAGCTATTAATTCACTCTTTAACCTACTACTTTATTAACTGTATTTCAGACATGTCCCCCCCACCACAGAAACGGAACAGAAGCAACTGAAGTGTGAATATAAACTTATGTTGGGGGTTGCGTTTGGTAGATTTAAAGGTAAGAGCAAGCCTCAGTTTTCATGTAAAAAGGCTCCATCCACACCCTAAATCCAGATGATTTCAGATTTTAGCTTACTACATTTGAGAAGTATATTTTCAACTAGCAACCAAAAACTCCACTTATCAACACGACTTTCCCCTGAAGAATACCATTAATTTCCACAGAACCTTTCCCAAGGGAGAGAACCCAAGGGAACACACTTTCTCTTTCATACAGGTGTGATGACCACCTTCCAAAATGTGAATCAAGGGCAACAATGGAAAGAATCTTTTCCCCCCTCATGCCTATTCATCGATAGACCTCAGGCAAGCACAGATAAGACCAACGTCCCCTTCTAGCCATACTGGCAGAGTAACGCCAGTAGTATGGGAAGAAACTAGCTCTATCAGCATTTCAGAGGCTTCTGTACACAAGTGGGGATCTTGCCACTTTGGAGGAATCTTGTGGAGCACAACAAAGTTGTCTGAATACACAGTTAAGGCGGGCTGGACACATTTTGAAGCCAAATCAGCTACCTTACTCATAAAGCAAGTAGCCAGAAAACATGGTCACCAGTTTGGGGCACAAATGAATTTTATTACACATGGCAGGCAAGATTAACCTGTCTAACAAGCTTAGTTCTTGCATTAACAGATGATGACAAAGCTCACTGCAAGTCAGCTTGGAGGTCTGTAAACTTTATGCAAATGAAAAGCCTTAAAATTCTTTACTTTAGAGATATTACATATTCCCCTTGATTTTTTTTAATTCTTAACTCACCTATCACAGTTCACGGAGGAAGAATTCTCTCTCATTCCTAGTCTCTCCTGAACCTATAATTATTTTTTTTTTCCCCTTTCTTCCTTAATCTTCCTACTCCCTCAATTTTCTCTCATTGCCTGGAGCAGTATTTTCCTCAAACACCTGGAAAAGGTCATTCCACTCATCATTTCACAATGAAAGCTGGGGAAGATGGACAGGATAATGGTGTTCTACTGACAGAAGTAGACTCTTCTGCAGTAACTGAGTAATTTGGCAAGCCAACTACTAATTTTTAAGTACAGGGAAACAGTTTGTCTACACTCCCCTTCTCTTCTTCACACTGTCAATAAAGTCACTATTTTCAAAAACATACCAGGGTTAAAGAGAAAGTTTCCGTTGAAAAAATCACATAATTTAGAATGAAGTATAGGAAGAGCTGCTCCAAGATCAGAAGAAAGAATGAAGTCCTACTTTCTGAAAATGCACAGATGTCAATATCTTGAAAGCTTGTACTGTACAACGCAACAAATATGATTAAAATTACATAAAGCATGATGATAAGAGAGGAGAGGGTGGCTATATCATGCTGAGAGTATATTTAATGATACCTAAAAGGGAAGAGGTATGATGTGAAAACAGCTGAATAATGGTTGACAAGGATGACTAAACTGAACATGTGAAACAGAGCATCTTGTCTGACGCAGAGAAGTCTTCTGAGCAAACTGTCCAAAATGCATACGAGGTCTTACAAAAAAGAAATGGGAGAGACAAAGTAAACACTGCACTTGAAACGCAGCAGACAGGAACAAAGGAGCAAGCCCCAGGAGAAGGCAGCATCTTACAAGTCAGCACAAATAACGATGCTGCTTGAAAGCATGCAGAAGACAAAGTCTCTTGGAGAATCTGAAAACTATTACTCTACTACACAAACAAGACGATAATGGAGACCTGAGAAAGCACAGCATTTACAGACAATTGGTCTGTTGTCTACAAAGTTTTTACCAAAGGAAGTGAGGGTAAAAAAAAGAAGTCCTCACTAAGGCAAAACTTTGTAAAGTCTGATTTAGTTGAAATACTTACCAATAACCTACTTGTTCCTGCAGAAATAGAGGTAGCAGTGACAAAGAAAAAAGGGGAAAACCAATCAATGACAAAAAAGTCAGAGTACAAAATATTAAAGATTACAACTGGGAAGAATATATGTAAATCAAAAATTAAATTATTATGTGGGATGTTTTCAGGAGTTTAAATATTAATTCTAAATATAATGTTTAATTTTTCGACAGCAACATTAAATTATATATCAGAAGTAGTTATAATTACATTTATCATTCAGTATAGCAGAAAAATTATACCTATTAAAAGAACAGTTTCAAGAAAGTCAAGGAGAAATGCTTCAAAACACACTTGTTTTCTTGTGCTTTTCATCTCATTTTTTAATCACACACACAAGAGTTTATTACCTAAGCACAACAACAGACCTGCCTGCATTATTAAGCTATTTTCCTTCTCTAGCTCTCAAAATAGCAGTCCTCCACAAAGAGCACCAATTTCTTAATTCTGCAGGGAAACATTTAACCTGTGGCCTAATTTACTTTCATTCACTTGAAACTGGTTAGAGTAGAGTAAGTATAGTTGGTTGGTTGTTTCTTTATTTGGATTTGTTTTGGGTTTTTTCCCCAGAGTAAAGTGTGACTTATGAACAATGACTGAGCTTTGTGGAAAAGTCTGGGCTAAAAACTATCATTCATCCTCAGCACAAAGGAATTTTGCTTAAGGACTAACTTTTTTAAAGTACTGACATCTCTGCTTATCATAAAGCAGCCTTTTGTTTTTAAATAGAAAAATTACCTAAGAGAAGTTCACTCTGCATTGGTCCCTCCAAGTCTTCCAATTTGGAAAATATTTACCTTAGTGCATAGACTATTGTAGAAACTAGGATGTAGGTTCATAAGAAGCCAGACTTTTAACAGAATAATTAAAAAGAATCTTACAAAATGAGAAGACCACCAAAGGTTACAAACCGCGTAATTCCAGAAAGTATACATTGGAATCAGATCATTAAATCCTTCAGTATTAACAGAATTTAAATGTTTAATATGAATTATGTACAAATTTTGATAAAATGCGAGAGCAGTTTCTTAAGTTTGAATGATATGCATTTATGTATTATAATGACTAGTTTTGCAAAAGTTCCTATTTCTAAGACAGAACATTATAATAACATTTGGGGAAGTACCATAGTGAAGAAAGCATGCAAAATGCCTAATAAGAGGACTAGTAAAGATGATACATAATTGGTTCAGAAAAAAATAGAACTGAACCTATAAAGAAATAACCCCCCAACCAAGTTTTCTTAACTACTGTCAGCAAAAGCTGAAGAAAATCAAGCTATTGACTTACATGCTTTAAACATATCAATCATGACAGATCAGTCTATATTTACAGTCTTGTACGTCTATTAAGAGAGTATAGAACCCATTTCATAGTCTGCAAAATCTTAAAGAACATCCATAAATCACAAACCAACCAAACTTTCAAATGACATGCCACATCATTCCTACCACAGCAACTAAGTCAGCAGTGTAATTCTTGCTTTTTCATGGTTAAGATGCCACTGTTTGAACAAACTGTTAAGCAGTATTTTCTGTATCACTCACATTTTAAATGATCATCATAGAAAATGCTACTGTGCATTTTTTATTTTTCACTGTTTACAATCGCTGCATTGGCCAATCAGGCAAATTTTTGAGAAATCTGATTAGTTACCAATTTTAAACATCTATACTTAGAAGAGAAACATCTCGTTTACATTAAACAGATCATTCTAGTAAGATGCACATATGCATGTATACACACACACAGAGCATAGACTGTACATAAGTTTTAACAGGGATGTGCAGTTGGAACAAATTAAATTAAATGATATTTTGACTTTCAGCAGTTTGAAAAATGACATGGTAACTCAAATGCTTTTACGTATCCAATTACAGATTCTCTGTAAAAAGTATACACTTTTATTAGTTTACTCATCCATAATGCTAATGAAGGTAGCAGAACCCACAACTATTTAAGAAGTATATTTTGTTCTTCACAGCTCAAACAAAATCATGATCTGTCATTTGATAGATACATATATTTATATATATATAAGCATTATACATAAAAAAAGGAGACACTGTCTCAGGTTTGAATACTGAGAGAGCATGAAACTGCAACATGCTAATGAGTTATATTTTAATAAGAAATGGGTGTTGGGTTTTGTTTGCATTTGTGGTTTGTTTTGGTTTGGGTTTTGTTTGTTTTTTAAACAACTGACTAAAGAGCGATCACAGTTAGTATTCATATTTCAGGAATGTCCTTATAAGATCAGGATCACAGTGTGGCAAGTGTTGTAAATACGTTTGTTCACATACATGTGTATTCAACCCTCTTCTGAAGAGCTTACACTCTAAAATAGACAAGAAAAAGCAACGATTACAATGGAAGCAATTTCTCCATTATATACTTTAGAAAAGCAGTAAGAAACTTGCTCTGTCTTACACAAAGTCAAACAATTCTCATAAGTCTCTAGATGTCACCTTATATAAAAATACCTATTTGCCCACAATGACACTGAGACAAGGGTCACAGAAAAAATAAATCATGAGATAAATTTGCTCTGCCTTTCCATGCAGCACTGCCTTCTCAACCAGAGCCTTACCTAATGAATTAGCAAGGCTCTACCACAGATCCCTAAAACACATTTTTTTGAAATCTGTATATACATAATTCAGCAGCAAACAACTTTAAGGAAAAAAACCTTCCATGAGGGACATTAAATAACCTGACACCTAGCCCTTCTCAAACAACTCAGATTTCATTCTCTTCAGATTTCAGATTCCTACTTTTTTACAGTGTAAGGCACTCATTAAAAAATAATTTATGAATCTTCCATCAGTTTAGACATCTGAAGTCCTGAGGTAGGACTACTAACCCAATGCCAAAATGATTAAAGACACAGACTTACACCTATTTTCCCATTGTAGCCTTTCATCCTAGGTTGAAAAAAAAAAAAAAAAAAAAAAAAAATCACAACTTCCTAAAATCTTCTCTGAAAGAAACACTAGTTCTTGACAGATACTTTCAGTTAAACAAGTTGTTCTTCAAGCAAGAAAGATTTTATACTTGATAAGTATTTGTGTACTAATTTGTCACATTGTTACTTTTAACAGACCAGGTTTTAAGAACTGCAAAGAATTAACATCATTTATAGGCATTTTTCTGTTTCTAATTAGATCTCCTCCTTTATCTAAGAGAAGCATTAGTCCCTCAAAAAGACTTCTGTTCACTAGACAGAAGATGTACTTTCAGTGTCTCACAAAATAAGAATCTCCACAGTGGTGTTGAAGGATAACTCTCTCACACTTAAACCTCATCACCAGTTTTCTAGAAGGCTTTCTTATTCTGGATTTTAGGAGAGGTCACAGTAGCTGTTTACCACATGGACACCACCTTAAATCCACTCCTTTCGTTGCAAGAGAAGCCCTCAGAAGGAAAGTCCACTACACACAGGTGGGTGCAGTAACAGCAACTGTGATAAATTTCACAATATGGCCACCAACAAATTGGTGAGATTAAGCCAGGTGTAAATCATCAACTCTGGTGAAAAGACAGACTTGTTCCAGTTCTTCCAGAGTAGACTCTACTCATATTAAAGACTAGTGAGAAGTAAGCCACAGGCATGTAAAGAACAGGCTCTGCCTCCGGGCTTTGTTGTTTTCTCAACTAACTTTTTTTAAAAAATTTGCCTTTAACTACCATTTTCAGGAACACCTAATAAAAGCTCCCAAAGGAAGCCTGACATTCCTGTCGGTCATCACAAAAGCACATTTTTCCTCCCTCTAGAGGAGGTCCTGCCATACCTGTCCTTTACAGCAGTTGTATCAATCAGGAATCAGTAGACTGGGAGGTGTGCCAGCAGGAGAAACCTACTTTTACTGTTTTTTTCTTAAGAACCAATACTCAATACAATTCCTGGCTTTGTGCAGTGAGAATGCCATTTAAACAACTAAACTTATGTCTTTGCTTTCCAGAACTGTGTAGACATTGTACCGTTCATTCTATTAATCCTATAATCCACAACAGCAGTTTCTGGTTTGGAAGACATCTCCGCAGGGCAGCTACAGAAGACTAAGAGCTGTTTAATCTTTCAGAGAGATCCTCCAGCTTTAGGCTGAAAAAAAGTGAATGCTGAACTTGTTCTATGCACAGAAGACTTTAGCCTGAGATGCTGTCTGTCTGGTACTTTCCACAGAACGTGGTAGGACAGCCTGAAATTCTGCTCTTGCTGTAAAACCAGTCCTTAGCTAAAACCGTATCAAAACTGTCTAGAAGCTGGACAAAGGGGAAAAAAAGCAGATGCAGTTGGAAGGGTTATGTCATACATAACATGGCAATAGAAATATTTTACACACAAGCATATGTTTTTGGGTAGAAGCCAACATAAACACAAAAATTGCTCTTCTTCACTATTCTGTAGGTAGGACAATTTTTATTGACATCAGAGACACTCAAAACAACATTGAAAATTAAGCTCTTAGTTAAGGAAGGGAGTTCACAGCACTTAACATCTACACAATGATTTCCAGAAAAAAAAATAAAAACTTCAACAACTCATCCATTATGTTTCCACCTCCATCAAAACTCATATAAATTGCACTAAATCTCGAGACACACTAATCTTGTTACACTGTCACCTACTTACTCTAGAACTATACAGAGTCAGCTTCAAGGGGAAAAAAGATCATTTAGGCTCTTAAAAGAATAAATCAAATATTTCAGATGCATTTATGTCAATTCAGCATGTTACTCGACCTACAACATAGGTGGGATTATAAATCCTGTAGTACATTATTGTTGCTCTTGACCTAGCCCGGTATCTCACAAAGTTGAGGGTAGTACCATCCAGCAAAATGAAACAACAAGCCTTCTGGAATAAATTCAAAGTACTGAAAGGATAATACAGTCTTCTAATCTATTAATATTCTGGCAAGAACATGTATATACAAATCCAAGTCTTTAAAACCAATCTAGACAAAAATTCTGATCTCAAGTG